CTATTGCTAACTCTAGAATATGTGAGAAGATAGTCTACAAAAAAGAACAACCTTTATTTCTAGGTTGATAATCCGTGGAATGAGAACTATTATCAAATAGATATAAAATTGTTCTGATACCATTGTAGTTAATAGAACTAGGGTTGAAGAGTAGGAATTATTGATCAGTATTCTTCTCAATCTTCCTAATCTCGATTTCCATTCGTCAGTAACTACTTCTCATTGGATTACTGGCTCTGATGATTAGGATTTCCAGAATCACCTGCATCTGCTTCTCGCAATCTACCCTGATTGTTTCAACTCCGAACGTTTATTTATGACAGCTTTCCTCGTTAATACGTGTTTCTTATCGTCCGTATTTCATCACTCACACTTTTCGCTGCACAAACAAAGCCTCTTGCGAAAACTGCTGTGCCAACCACTACCATATTACGTCGCATGTTACCAACATTCATTTGCCTATTCGTGATATCCAATATCACTTCGAAACTTTACATACTTAATCACTTCATGATACAGTGATTTAAACGTCTAAGTCAACCAATGTGTTACTTTATTTCACATCTGTATTTCCAGAAAATCGAGTTTCATGATTGATGGACTAATGGAGTTCTAAATAATTGTCTTCAAAAGAATGATAATATGATTCTACAGTAAATTGTTGATTGAATATATCACACTGTGAAACAGTTTAATTTCTCGATTGTAACTACACAATTTCGAATCTTGACTTCTACAGTTCTCGTTCACTTCGCCTTTCTCATCATTTCTCGTAGGAACAGTAGAATTTCCCAGATATTTGGGACATGTGTTGAACCATTCCCACCTCACTGATTCTCAGATGCTTCGATAAATAAACTTCTAGTCATCAATCTAAGCATCTACTCTTTGACATCCGGCTTTAGGTGTGCCATCTAATCCCATCCTGTTTTGTGGCTGTGTATAACTGCATGTAGTGCTATGTGGTCCTGTCGTAATAAGTTATAACCAATGAAAATCAACATGATAGTGGAGGATGGATTATTGGTGCATCACCATAGCACAGGTAATGCAAGTCAAGTGATGTACCGCCATTACTAACTAGCGGCCACCGATGAGCCATATCCTTAGCTAACCGTGAGCCTCCATTTATTATCGTCAAATCATACAACTATTTAGAACACATGAGGAAGTGATGCCTCACAACATTCCTTGGACAACGAGATCCTCACCACCAATCAGTTATCCTTAAACCATATTTTATCTGGACTAACATAGCTGGCCCACATGTACAATCTGAAGAGAAGCCATGTAAAGCCCATCACATCATCAACGGCCCCCAAACTAAAACAATGCTGGTCAATCACGAACAAGCATGTTTCCTGAATGTCATCAACTACTTGTGATATGCCGAATAGTCACTTGCACTAGAATTGTGGGGAACATGGTGCGTAGGAATGAATTTACCCTGTGTTAGTGGATACCAGTGTCGAGTCCAGAAACAACTGATTCCGGAAATTCTAGTCGATATGCACTGAATTGAGACAAGCGAGACCACCACTTCACTTTTCTACTAGTCTGGATTTATTTGTGCTCAGATCAATAATGAAAATGCCTGAGTGTTAATTGTCACTCGTTTCCTTGGTCATTCCAAATCCATATATGCTGCTCTAAACTCTGAAGTGTGCTCACTACATTTGTCAAGTTTGTAGAACGCCTTGAATGAAAATCCCTTGTTCAAATAAGAAGGTAACCTCGCCAGATACTAGCTTGCTAGGCTACTAGCTTACTAGTTTTCTCGCCGGTCCCAAGCCCGGGTAAAGAGGGAGGGTTGGGGCGTGGTGCTAGCAACTCCACCCCTGTAAAACAACCAAATCGCTACAGAAACTTCAACGAATAAATATATTAAAAATTCTAAAAACATAAGCAATAGCCTTACTTTTCGCTGGAATCGGGGAAGTGAAATGACGCAGGCTGGTGAAAGCCTTCGGGAAGCCAGTCAGCCGATGTGCCTTCTTTCGATGAAAGCAAAAGTAAGGATGGGTACCTGGAATGTTCGTACAATGTACGAAACTGGAAAGGCTGCCCAGATAGCCGCTGAAATGAGAAGGTACAGAATAGAAGTGTTGGGAATCTGCGAGAGCAGATGGAACGGAACTGGAAGGTGCCAACTACCTACTGGAGAGACAGTAATCTATTCCGGCCACCTAGAGGACAACCATGAGCACACCGAGGGAGTGGCCATCATGATGTCACCAACAGCAACCAAAGCTCTCATGCAGTGGGAACCAATCTCCTCCAGGATAATGACAGCCAGGTTCAACTCAAAAGGAAGGAAAGTTACAGTCATTCAATGTTATGCGCCTACAAACGTCTCAGAACAAGAGAAGAAGGAGGCGTTCTACAGACAACTACAAGCAATAATGGACAACGTCCCAAATGGCGATATCAAAATCCTGATGGGCGACATGAATGCGAAGCTGGGACGAGACAACACAGGAAGAGAACTCACCATGGGTCGTGAGGCCCTCGGTGAAATGAACGACAATGGTGAACTCTTCTCAGACTTCTGCGCCTTCAATGATTTGGTGATTGGCGGTAGTGTGTTCAAACACAAGGATATACACAAGACGACATGGATTTCACCAGATGGAAACACCAAGAAAAATAGACTTCATCTCAATTTCAAGAAAGTGGAGACGGAGCCTACTGGACACAAGGTCAAGGAGAGGAGCAGATGTGGGTTCAGACCACTATCTAGTAGAAGGGACTTTCAAGGTGAAACTAAAAGCCTCGAGGATAGCTGGGGATAGGCCACAATGCAAGTTCAACACTCAATTACTGAAGGACACAACCACAAAAGACACCTTCACTGCAACTGTCAGAGCAAAGCAGGAAACACTACGCGACATCACTGAAGAATCATGCGTGGAAGAACATTGGAAGTCTCTGAAGGCGATTCTCAACGAAACGTGTTCAACGGTTCTAGGAAGAAAGAAGAGACAAGACAAGGAATGGCTCTCAACGGACACTTGGAAATTAATAGAAGAGAGGAGAATGGTGAAAGAGAAAATGATTCAATGCAAGGACGGACAGGAGAAGGAGACGATGAGCTCAACTTACAAAGCACTGGACAAAGAAGTGAAGAAGAGTGCTAGGAAGGACAAAAGACGATTCTACGACAATCTAGCTACTGAAGCTGAGAAGGCAGCAGGCAAAAGGGACCTGAGGACACTATATCAGATAACCAAATCTCTATCCGGGAAGAGACCAACACAAGCGAAACCTATAAAAGACAGCCAAGGGAGCCCATTACCAAGGAAGAAAAACAGATTAAACAATGGGCGGATCACTTCAAAGGACTCTTGAACCGACCATCACCTGCAACCCGTCCAGAAATACCAACAACAGCGCGCACACAACTGCAAGTTGACACCAATCCTCCAACGAGAGCTGAAGTCTTGAACGCAATCAAGCTTCTGAAAGCTGGAAAGCAGCCGGACCAGATGGAATACCCCCTGAAGCACTGAAAGCGGACCCAGAGACGACAGCAGACATGCTGACTCCATTATTGCAAAAGGTCTGGAAGGAGGGAAAGGTGCCTACTGACTGGAGGAAAGGTTACCTCGTGAAACTACCAAAGAAGGGCGACTTAGGACTCTGCAAGAACTGGCGAGGAATCATGCTCCTATCGACGCCAAGTAAAATCCTGAGTCGCATCATCCTGGAGAGATTAAAGGACGCACTGGAGACAGAACTCCGACCAGAACAAGCTGGATTCAGGAAAGGCAAATCATGTAAAAAACAAATTGCAACTCTACGCATCATCATCACAGAACAAAGCATGGAATGGCAATCAAACCTCTACCTCAACTTTATAGACTTTGAGAAGGCCTTCGACAGCGTTGATCGTGAAGTAATTTGGAAATTACTCGAGTACTATGGCGTACCCCAAATATTCATCAACCTTATTCAACAGCTGTACGACAACGGCACCTGCCAAGTGATCCACAACGGAAGACTCAGCGAGGCGTTTGGAGTAAACACAGGAGTCAGACAAGGGTGCTTACTATCACCAATGATATTCCTAATTGTGGTGGACTGGATTATGCGTCAGACTGTGGGAAACAAGACAGGAATATCCTGGACCGACGTGAAGAACCTAGAAGACCTGGATTTCGCGCGTGGATGATTTATGTTTGATGTCACACACAATCGAAGACTTACAAGCGAAAACCGACAAACTGGTCGAAGAAGCGGCGAAGACAGGACTCCAGGTAAACATAGACAAGACGGAGGTTATGAAAATAACCAACCAACAACAGCAACAACATCCAACGTCAATCACCATCAACGGGAGGGATTTGAAAGAGGTTACTTCATTCACTTATCTAGGGAGCATTGTCTCAACTACAGGAAAAAGGAGCGGACGAGGATGTCAAATCGAGAATCGGGAAGGCGAGAAACACATTCATCAGCCTGAAATCAATCTGGAAATCTTCGTCACTCAGCATCACCAACAAAATTCGGATTTTCAATACAAACGTCAAGTAAGTCCTTCTATACGGATCAGAAACTTGGCGGGTCACAAAGAATATTTCCAAAAGGCTGAAACAGACCTTTATTAACAACTGTCTTCGCTCAATACTGAAGATCAGATGGCCGGGCCGGAAAGAATCACCAACAAGGAATTATGGGAACAAACAAAGCAAGAACCAATCGCCAAACAACAAATATGCAGGAGAAAGTGGAGATGGATCGGACACTCGCTGAGGAGACCGCTGGGTGACATCGCGCGCCAAGCCCTCGAGTGGAACCCGAAAGGGAAGCGGCGTGTGGGACGTCCAAGGGTGACATGGAGGAGATCGTGTGAAGAGGAGTTGAAAGAATATGGATTAACATGGATGCAGGCGAAAAGTATAGCAGAAGACAGAAGAAAATGGAGACGTGCAGTTGAAGCCCTATGTTCCACTAGGAACCCAAGGGAGCGATAAAAAAAATAAATAAGATGGTGATAGATTACTTTGTGAAATTTGTTTATTTTCAGTGATTCACTGGGTCCAGCATAACGAGGTTTAGTCTTCGTTAACATCAGCCAATCTTATCTGTGACTCACCGAAATCGAATACAGTGTGAAACTTGCTCGTGAATACATCACCGAGAACTCAGTATCCAGGGGATAATTGATCATTGCTGGCGAAAGGTGATGTACAGTCTGCATATAACCAGTTTTCCACCTGAAATGGAAAAATGAAACAAATTTTCTTCAGTTTCAAACGTATAATCCTTTTGAATGACAATTAAGAGCAGCCTTAGTGGATGTAGACTTCACCTACTTACACAGCCAACTCTGACCGGTCAGAACACAAACAGCATGCCTTCCGAAGGAGTTGACTCGAATATGCTGATTACAGTTGACGGATATTTATGTGTAGAATGAATGAAAATAATGGAACCGGACGAATTTGTTGAGAATTATTTGAGTTTGAGCATATGTTTAGGAAGATGATTGACAGCATTTTCAGGAGAGAAATGGAAGATAAGAATGTAAGGGTGGGGGCTGTGATAATGTGAAATTCATTTAATAAATTAGAGGAACCGTGATAATAATAAATTAGTGTTGGTGACTCCAGAAATGAATTTTGATTTGTCTGGTGATTCGTCCCATGCGTAATACTAAGGTAAACGCACTAGCTGGAAATGACGCCATACAAATCATATCAGAAGCTCACATTTCCCACAAAATGCCGTCCACTTCTAAAATAAATCCACACTGGTTTCATGGATTTCACAATACTTGGCTGTCTGTTCAATGAAAACTTGTGACGTTGGTGAAGACGTTTTCTCAGTGTGCTGATCACAACAGAATCAGAAGGTTCAACTGAATGATTATACTCACCTTAAGCACGTAATCCTTCGGGCTAAGTACATACGTCCTCCTCCTGAAAACAAACTCAACTGTTGGGAGCAGATGAATGTTATTACAGTCGAGTGAGTATTCACCACCGCCAACCCATCTGGCACCAAGATGATTATTAATCGCATCCACTGCTCTACTATTTCCCAGTATCAAAGACGTTCCAGTATCTATAACACCGGTGGATTTTCTAAGGCAAAATTCTGCTCCACCTATCTTCATGCTAAACACGATAAAACAAACACAACTGAAACATTAACCAATCTATGCAGTGAAGTGTGCATTGATATAAATTATTCAAATCACAAAATAACTCATCCTAATAACCAAACGCGATGAGCATACTTAGTTCTCCTCAGTGATTCCCGAACAACCAAGGAAATCCTTCTCTGTTGAATTACTTTCTGCTCTCATCAGAATTTCTTGCACCTTCAGTCAATAACAGCCTTCACTAAATCATCCTAATAACTTTCTTCACTTGAATTTTCGTGAACAAATACAAACCATGCTGAGATTATGCACACTATGAACGTTTTAACCTGAGACTATGTAAGTCAACTTAACTACACACCATCAGCGTTTCAACTGCCATTCTCCAGTATCTGTGTGTTTATCGCAAGTTAAAATGGGTATTCAGCATATGTGATGTCGTTTGGTATGAGGTTTTCATGTGTTGAGGTGATGGTGGTCGAATGACTGGTTTATTTTTACTGGAATAGAGTATTTTAGGTTCAGATCAACTATGAGAAATGAGGGATGCAGAATAATTGTCCACTAATTTCTCATGCGGAATAATCAAGTCATGTCTCATACAGTAGATGTTAGCTTGCATGTATGACTTTTATCACTAGAAAAAGTGTGAATTGTTGCGTGAATTAGATATACTTTGGTTTGAACTCATAACTGTGATAACCACTACACATTTTCTGTGATCTTAATGGCCACACGAGAAAAGTGATAGGTTTTTCCATGAAATCATTCAAGCATCAAATGACTACCTTTTGATTATAAGAGACCAACGGTTATGAGAAACGACAGGCAAGTTTTCGAAATCTCCAATGATATATACAGGATTGACACCACCAATCACCATCTCTCCACCGATATGACCATTCTTCCTATAATATACAAAACACGAAAACTGTGCCTAGCTTGCTTGGCTAGAAGTGAGTTCAACTTCACGTTCCTTCAACATAAATGTAAACACTGATCATGATAAACGTGGCGCGCAAATTTGCATGAAATCACAAAATTCAGTAGTTGTTTCTAACATGTCACATTTCAGTGTTATCTTAGTTGCAAGTGAAAACGATATAAGACGAAAGAGTACTTCCATCGTACTTACTACCAAAGAAATCCTCGGAAAACACATTTGTCACTTCATCAAACGCCTGATTGCGAATGACTAAGGAGTTTATCTAAAACCAATGTCAAGTCAAGTCGTAAATCCACAATACCTGCATTGTATCCATGCTCCAATATCCAAAGTAACTGCCAATCAGGTAGCTTATATCAAACTTCGTACCATTTGGCTTGTAGGTGGATGATTTCGAACTGTCGTAAAATCGAATGAACCAACATGGAATGTCAAGAAACCAACATTTTCTTGATGGAAGCCAGGTTTCGATTGATCCTGTGTCGAAGAGTACACGAAACTCTTGCGGTGGCGTTCCCACAAGCACTTCCCCATAGTACTGAATCTGAAAAGGATATCATGAATGAAATATTTGGAAAATCGTCTGTGATTTTATTGTCATGATGAACTACTCTACATTGATGACAAAAATAAGTAGTTTTAGATGACTCTTACCAATAGTTGATTGATGTGCCATGTGTGGAATAATATTAAAGGAGAAGTCATCGAAATATTGACAATACAGCCTGGAAGTTTTAACGATTCAAATTATGAAATCTGATCGAAGAAAGAATAGAAGTAAATCAGTGTGCAAGAGTACCGATCCATTTTTAAATACTTTTATTTTGTGTCACGATGTTGCGGTATTATTTATTTACATATGACATGTTAATCACGGTGTACTGCAGGCTATCATGTCACCTTAATATCTAGTTTATAGTCGTGATGAAAATTCATTGAACCGCTAACAATGAGAGACAATAACACGTAAACATCCTCCTCAAATTAACACCTACTGGTAATATAGTCAGAGGAGGAAATCGCAACAGCTCATTTTCTTATTCACACAGTATCAACGATATGATTATAAGTACTCTGATTCTGCATTCCGCAAAAATATTTCATTACATAGACTTACATTGTTTATCTAGTATTGCAGATTCAGATATCCCTCAAATCAACAAACATTTAGTTCATTCCTGAAATTTGACTTACACTACCATTATTATACAGCGGTTCTGATGTTGGTGTATCTCCGCCATTCAATAAATTCACCCAACTTCGTTGTAATACCCTGAACAGTTTCCGATATGGATTTAGCAGTGAGCTGATTCCAGTCACCGGCTGCAATGGAATCTTGATAATCTCAGAATTCACATGACACAGACAGATGAGAAATATGATCAGGTTCATTGGAATGAATTTCAGAAGGAGACGCGAAAACGTTGACGACGTCTTTCTGTCTAAATGTACACACTCCTATATTCACATGCTGGTAACGACGAAATTTCTGATTGGAGATCACCGTGATTTTGTTTGCTGTCGGTGTATTATTTAGTGATGTTTGTGCATGATGGCAAATATAAACATGCTTTATGAATAACTGAATATATGTGCGATATACGTGCAAGTGAGTCCCCTGAGAATAATGGACTTTAAATGTGTGTAAAGATATTTGATTTGCGTAATTTCGAAATTCTCTTTGAATACTTCAAATAAGAAATATATAAGTGGAAAATTGTTTTCAATAAATTGGTTTTCGGTTCAAACAGTTTCAAATCTGTCAACATTTTCATGCAGTAGACGGCGAATTCGTAAACATCAGCTTATGAATAATGGGATTGTAATTGATTGTATGAAATGGGTTCTGTTGAAAGGATGTTGCTGTTTTTTTTATAGTACTGTTAGCTTTTACAAAATATGCAGTGCATATAAATAGGAAAGAAGATAATAAGATACGTCTTCTGTAGGAACCTTTATAAAAGCTCATAGGAATGAATTATTAGAACTGAATACAATAATACTCTGTGTGTAATTAACCAGTAAGATGCGCTTAAGTACAGTTCAAAAGTTGGCCAATAGTATAAATAATAATGAAAATATTACTCAAAATTGAATATTGTAAAGGCCTTCCGTTCTATTTTGAGACTCTTAAATGGCACACATCCGTGGGAGCTTCATGTAGACCGACAGCTGACAAGATTCGAAATAGGAGTCTTTAAATATTAATGGTCCTCTAATGGATTTGAAATCATTATCTGACAGTAACATGATAATTGCTGTAGACAGTAAGCACTGTTTATTCTCGATTTGCCTCCGTAATGCAGATCAGTCTTTTGTCGGATTCAATTTCTTAATTATAATGGGATCATATTATTTATTGCCATTTAAATCTAGTTTTATGTCGTCCAATCTCCGTTAAAGTAAATTGTGTCTGGACAGCTTTTATATCACTTGTGATGTTTTCGTCGATCACCTAATTATCCAGAGTAAATGTCTCACTATAGTCAAACAGAAAATGTTCACACAGAATCAATTCCATTTCTGATTAAATACCGTCTTGCATTCACAAACAAGTCACACCATACTCAGCTAGTCACATGCCTCCAATGTTTCACTGCAGTCGAATTCTACCCAATTGCCATTAGTCTCCACACGTCTACTTCCTGGAAATTGTTGAAATGAACAGTTTGTGAGTGTAATAAAATCAGCATTAATCAATTAGGAAACACCAGGCTAAATTGCAAACAGTTTCAGGAAAGCTGAGCGTTCATTTCGCTACATTTCACCCTGTTATCTAATGAGCAAATTAAAATATGTTTGACGATAGCACATTTTGACATCATCGGCACACCAATGACTTCTACAAATTCAGTGATTCTAAGTAGGAGTAATATGCATAAAAGTACATAGTGATTTGCATCTTTAAAATGTTGAAGTGAACAGTTTCTTCCGCATTCACATTGATTGACAGTTCATTCACTACTGCTAATCCGAATAACAAGTGGATTAGACGATGACATCAACACATAGTGAAATAAATATGTGGTGAAATGATTGATTGAAGTATTGTCAGTGAACACATATATCAAGTTGACTAATGCATTGACAACCAGGAATCGAACAATTATTACAACCCCACTTCATGTGTTGACTGAAATTCGAGTAAACAGGATATGTCTAAAATACCGTACAAAATCAAATATTTAATACAGAAAACTCAATCATGAGGTGCCCGTGTCAAAAATCACAGGCAATCTGCGTCAATAATCAAAAAAGATGATGATATAATGAAGATATAATAATTTCGAAGCCTCGTGAAGACTTTGGAGTAGTCATAATGAATAAAACTGAATACATAGATAAGATGAATGGAATATTCATTGATCATCTAAAATTTTAAAAAATTACATCTTCCGTCGATCGGACAGAGAAAGTGGAGAAACAACTAATTGAGTCCCTAAAAAGACTTAAACAACAAAGCAGCATCATAGACGGTTTATATGAATCTTTAAAGCCTACTGGCACGGTTACACCAAGATTATATGGACTACCAAATGTGCGTAAAATCGGTTTGCCACTTCGACCAATGTTGGACATGTGTAATTCCCCATATCACGCAACAGCAAATTGGCTAGTGAAGCTCCTAAAGCCTCTGCATAATGAAGTGGTAAAACATAGCGTAAACGGCAGTTTTGAATTTGTTGAAAAAATATGAGATCTTAATGTGAGGGACAAGTTTATGATATCTTTTGATGTATCCTCCTTGTTCACCAATGTACCGTTAATAGAGACAGTGGATTTTATATGTGAAGAGATTACTACACGAAACATAGATATCGGGATTTCTGTATCCACCTTTAAGGAACTTATTTTAAGATGTACAATGAATGTTCATTTCTTATTCAATAAGGAATATTACAGAGAAATTGATGGTGTGGCTATGGGTTCCCCATTAGGTCCAATCCCAGCTGATTTTTTCCTCGCTAAATTAGAGAATGGACCACTGAAAGGAGTAATTAATGACATTGATTTCTACTGTCGATATATGGATGATACATTTGTGGTTATGAAAGATGAGAATGATGCAATGAACATCCTTGACAAGTTTAATGATGCACATTCAGTAATCAACTTTACCATAGAGAAAGAAAGTAATGACAGGATCTCATTCCTAGACGTCTTCATGGTAAGGAAAGAAGACGGTACACTAAGAAGGAGTGTGTATTGGAAACCTACAACAACAGGTCAGTACACTCATTTTTTGAGTTTTGTGCCTTTGAAATATAAACGTAACCTCGTGAAGTGTCTGGTTCATAGAGCAATGTTAATCTGTTCAGACGACCGCCTCAATGAGAAGCTTAAGATTATTAGAGAATTACTTAGAAGAAATGACTATCCAGATAAATTCATTGAGAAAAATATGAATTTAGCTCCAAGGAGAGTCAGTATGGCCACAGTCCCGAAAAAAACCAATGTTCATAAAATTGCAGTTCCTCAGTGACAACATCAGCGAAATAATAACACAGCTCCTGAAGAATGCAGTTAAAAGAACTTATTGTTCAGCAGAGGTACGTTGTCTCTTTACAACCACACCTATTTTATGTTCGAGAAATAAGGATAAACTACCTAAATTCTCCTCCTCTTTGTGTATCTACCAGTTTGACTGCAGCTGCGGAGCCAGCTAGATTGGGTGTATAATTAGGCAAGTTCATCGTCGTATCTCCAAACATCATCCAACGTGGTTAAGCGAGGGACAAAAAAGTCTATTCGCAGCTGTATTTTAGCCCACCTCGTTGATACTGAGCATAAGATTGATGTGAATATTGCATTTAAAATTATTTATCGCATTCCGACTTATCTTAATTTTGCTCTGCAAGTTCGTCTTCTACAGACAGCTGAAGCAATCGGAATTCACCTGAAGAAGCCAAGTCTATGTGTACAGAAAAAATTTGTACAGCCACTTTCCCTACCGTGGCATCGTCACAAGAATGGATAAACAGGACTGCGTCGCCCCCTCCCCTAAACCTATAAAAATTATATTTGTCTAAATTATTTATTTTATTTTTATTCATTTTGACCACTTCATCTTTAATTTACGTGTTATCCTTGTAAAGTTAATTTATTCTATCCATTTCTACCTTTCAAATCTGTATTGATTTTCTTCGTTAACTATTAACCCATTGACACTGCTTAATTATTGTTATCAAACTTATCGCCACTTGATTGGCAAACTGTTGTATTGTAATTAAATGCTATATATATTAGAGTAGAGCCAGAGATGAGGATCTAATTGAAAAGTAAATATTTCTTCGCTCAATCTTTCTCTTTTCTAAATGTCAAAATGGGGATTTTCACTTTATTGAAATCAAAAAAGTACAGAGGCTTGGCGAATAAGATCCACGTGTTAATTAAACAGCTTGTGAATGTCAGACACGGAATAAAGGGATTCGAATAAACAGTGTTCACCAGTAACCAGTACACAAATAAAGTGTACAGAGCAAATAATGTTCAACTATAAGAAAGTGATTACCATACATCAAATAGATCCCAAATACATCAGGTCGGTCAAATTTCGATCGGTCGGAAACAAATCCGTGTTTGAAAAGTAAGAAAATATACTTCCGACTACTTGCTGATGGCGAGTAGTATAAAGTGGAACGCAAAAGAAAGAATAGCAAAGCACAGATAGGAAATGAATTAGTAGTATTTCTATTCAGGCTGATCGTAAAATAGTGCGATATTCCGAAGCGATCGCAATCAAACGATTCAAACCAGACTTATGCATACAGAAAGAGAGTGTGATTGATCTCTTACCACCGTGGTAGCCGAATTTTGATTTTGATTACATTAAGTATTCACCTAATTGACTGATCGCAACTCACTGGGCAATTCTAAATCTTGTAAACTGTAACTGCTTATGTTTTTTAAGTTACTCTGTGAACCTACAAGCCAACGCTGTTTGTTAATTTTTCCTATTTTGTCTTCAACCCCTCCAGCCTCTTTTCTACTTTAAAAGCGTATAAATTGATGATGGAAACTTAAACTGAAAATTGTAATGCTGACACTTTGGATGTGTCAGTTTATAGTATTCCTCCTCTACTACCACTTGAACATTAAAGTATGTTGTTATCATCTATATAGAAATTGTAATTTCAGGTAGTCTGCAGCTGACGAGAACCAGTGAAATAGAATGTCACCATTTTATACTAAAAATCTGGTCTTTCTCTCTCTCTCTCTCTCTCTACGAGACATGTCAATCTCTTCATGATAACTACATGATAGATTCCCCAATGTTTGAGGCTAATGTAAATCAGTGTGTGCACTTGTATTATCTTACTGTCCTAGCTATTGTTTCGTTTGTGTTCAACTTCGTACTACTCACTGTTAGTTAGTAGTTTGAACTAACTTTTTACTTCCTAAATGCCACTTCGTTTTATAGTTATAGTGTATTGGTGTGAGTGAAATACAATAACCACATATTACATAGAAATACACATTAACAAAGGGACACTGGATGTGAATGCTGACCGATAAT